TGTGCGTGTGCGTGTGCGTGTGCGTGTGCGTGTGCGTGTGTCTGTCTGTATGTATGTGTGTGTTTCAGCATGTTAAATGTCCATTAGTAACTCATTAAGATGGCATCATATTTATAGGTCAGCCTGACGTAATCACGTATCCATACTTCAAGCAGCCATCTACAACAGCTAAGGTTGACAATGTCGATAAAACAACTAACGTTCCAGCGTATACCGGCATGTCGATCGAGGGAAACGGAATCGCCGACAAGACAGATTCCTGGACGCATAGTCCGTATACAGACAAGACTGACCCAGCTTCGATCACAGAAGTGACAAAAGAGATGTGGGAAAGTGTGACTCACTACCTGGATAAAACAGCAAAACCGGTGACATTAAAATATTCAGAAGCATCAACCGAGCACTCCCAGTCGTCCATGCAGATTACAACTACACAAATGCCTTTTGAACATCATACTAGTAGCATGACTAATATGCCCGATGAAGGTAAGGATGCTATCACTCCGTTGGCTACTTTAGAAACGCCGTACACCACACATACAACCGCAGCGGAAACAACTGCATCAAATAGAGATATTAGTCCCGATTTCACTCGAGCAAGAACGACGACGGATACATTTGATAAACATCCATCGGATTTTGCCACACCTCCTACAACCGAGGAGACAGGTGTTTCAATCGACCATGCTGATTCACTACCACCGAAAGCAACAACTTCAGAGGTACTTACGTCATGTGCAACAATCACAGCATCTACGCACGCAAAGCCCGAGACTTCTACTGAAATTAGCGCGACCGGCGAAATGACGTCATCGGTCACCGAAACGTCTGCGGAGACGGATAGCACTCAGTTCACAGAAATCGTCACCGATGTACCAATTGTTACTGAGTCAGAATCTACGACTTCGCGTGAACGTGAACGCATGACTAGTGACATGCACGAAACTACGGAACGTGTCAAAACCTCGTCCTTCGCAGTCACCTCTCAAGGTATAACAACAACGGATACATCCATGACTAAAGGGTTGGAAACGTCTGCAGCATCTACCGTGCCACGTGCTGGACATACTATGACAACATATTCCGCCGGGTTTGGTGATGATTGGCAAAACACGGACAGTGCAACTGATGCTGAAATGACAGCATCCACAAACCGAATGACGAGTAGTGACGACAGCTTGTCAACAACTCTGAAATATCCGGATGTAGAAACAAGTAACACGCTCGCAACAGAATCACCATCTACCGTGATCAGGGAACCGACGACAGACGAACAAGAAGCTTATGGCGAGAGCTCTTTCACAACGAACGCACCGACCAACATTGAAGAGAAGCCAACTACGCTGCCATCTAGTATCGAAACCGTAACCTTCACGAAGCAAATGCAGACTACAGATCAGTCACGAAATGACAGCGGTACAAGCAAGCGGATGCCCACAGAAGAAACATCGACGGAGCTTCCATTTGACGATACACCAACTAAGAGCCTAAAAGATTACATCAGTAAGACTACAACGATACTCATACCTACGAAAAGTGGTGAGGATGAATCAATGCCAGACGAGATTCTACCAACGATAGGTATGCCTACTACCGCTAAAGAGCCAGGCATGAAAGAATGTTTTCAGCAAGGACAGATCAAGGCTCGCCGATATGACGTGTCAAATGTGGGGCTACCGCATTATTTTAAAGGCTGGGTAGACGTGCAAGGCCAGGGGGCTGCTAACGATTATTGCAGGTGAGTAATATATATATATATATATATATATATATATATATATATATATATATAACATAGAAATATAGAAATAATAATTTAACTGTGACCTCTTGAGGCCTTAAGTATGACCTTATGTCTCTTCGTCAGGCTACAACAGAAGCGACAATATTGAAGTCTGAGTGACAGGTTATATAGCACCTTATTTCTATATTGTTGTACATTTCTTATAGTGTTCAGTGTATTGTTATAGTTATAGTGTACAGTTCTTATAGTGTTCATGTATAGTTTACTCACAATTTTACATGTATATATATATATATATATATATATATATAATATATACGGAATTAAATACATAGTGACAGCTTATATTGTTATGTTACATTGAACATTGTACTAGTCTCGTTATACAAGAGACAATCAAATGCCAAAATTGCATATGCATCTAGCGTAATTCAATAGATACGTTACGCTTATTACTCCTATGCTTTACTGATGTAGCGCGTTCATCCTTCTATACGAGATAAGTCTGTATATTCACTGACCTATATTCATACAGTGAGTGCACTACCATATCGCGTGCCACGTACTTGTGGTGAAGAAATAACGAATATAATGAACACAGCAAATCCACGTTAAGAGCGAAATAGCAAGATTAGATATTAAGATTGTACTTGAACTTTCCATGCATAAGGAAATCTCCTTCTGCTTAGTAAACTCGTTTGAAGATGAGTCAGCGCAGTGCGTATATACTTACTATTGACAGTATAGTTGCCGGATTAACGATCGAGACGGGGCCAAACAATGGCATGATAATTATAGTATCAGAGAAATAAGCAGATGGGTATAATGTAACAATTAAAAAATAAATAAATAAGATTAAAATAACATAGTGTAGCTAAGAGTAACTACTCTACATACGTTCATAAACTTGAAGTTCTTTTATTTATATTTTCTGCTTACAATTTAATGACGATGCAGGCACCATGAGAATATAGTAGGGCTACCGTACTGTGCTTAGAGCTGCGTTAAGGAAATCATCTATCTGATAATAATCACACGGTGAATGTGCTGTGCTGTGCTGTGTGTGTGTGTGTGTGTGTGTGTGTGTGTGTGTGTG